CTCCAGGCTAGCGAGCCAGCGTCTTATCCACTTAGCCGCGTGATCCCCCTGCCATAATCGAGCCGGGTGTTAGAAGAGAAAGTTCTTTGGCATTTTCCGACTTGGTTCCCATTTATCAGTGGTACAGGGTGAAAGGACTGTCAGTCGTTCGGATGGATAAAATACCGAGCTCCCGTGTACACATTGGTATGCACGTAAAAGAACCCCTGGCATTTGGAATTCAAAATAAGAGTAGGCCATAGTGCCGTTGTCCAGGTAAAATAGCGCTCTATATGGCATATGTCCGTCTTCATTATCCCTTTCGTAGCAGAACAGGATGTAAATCCCTATTTAAACTACCACAGTGCAGTACAGAATCTCCGGACTGCTCACCACCTCTACTCAAATAAACGTATCACATATAACCACACTGCCATTCTGTATTTCTCAGCAATCACAGAGATTCTGACCTTTTAGTTACCATACAGTTTGTCAATTAAAAAAATTTATATTGATGACATTAAACACATTAATATTTATCTTCGTGGTTACAACAATACATTTACTGTTTTAATAAAGTACAAATACCAATAATCAATATTATAAATATAAAATTTAAAATAGTTCAGTTAGGTTAGGGAAATGAGATTCAATTGATATTAAACGCTTCACTTCTCTGCACTCATCGGGACAATGAAGTCCAGCACAGATTGTAATCTAGGGAACCCCAGTAGCTCAGTAACGGTGTTGCGGGATGATGGGTCTGTCAAGAACAGTATCTAGCCATACGAATGGGACTAAAACCCGAGTTCCCGCGTAGACGTTGGCATGCACGTAAAAAAAAGCTTGACAGTTTGAAATCGATATCAGAGTAGCGCAAAATTGCCATCATAGCACATTGCATGGGTATGCCCTTCTTCATTAACACAGTCGAAGCAGTCAGATAGGATACTCAACCCCCTTTCATTTCATTAGGTATTCCAACGGGCTTATTCATTTAGAATCCATCATCCTAGTGTTGTATAACTATCTGAAACGCTGTGATATACAAACTTTCATTCAATATGTGGTTGCCGATGAGTTCGTAAATCTCACGACATTTTTTTTCAACAACTGCAGATAATACCTCTCGGGGTTACTTCCCCTTCTTTACGAACCCTTTTAAAACCCTTAGAGGACCTAGAGGTACTTACTACTGGTAGTATTCTTGTTGATCTTCTACAGACCACAGCCTTAATGCTTGTGGACCTTCTACAGACCGCAATTTTGATGGGAACTTTTGAAATTTGAACAGATTGTGCAGCTTCTGAACAGAAATCAATCCATGATTTATTGATTTTGATTTGCCATACTAACCACAAGTTTTAAAGGGATCTTTTACAAAATACGAACTACACTTTTAAAGAGATCGAACTACGAACCACACTTTCAACGTGATCCATCTCAAGCTACCAACAACACTATTAAAGGGGTCTTTCACAAACTACGAACCACATGTTTAAACAGATCTAGCAGTCTTACACAAACTACGAACCACATTTTCAACGGGATCTGTCTCAAGCCACGAACAACACTATTAAAGATGTCTTTCACAAACTACGAACCACATGTTTAAACAGATCTAGCAGTCTTACACAAACTACGAACCACACTTTCAACGGGATCTGTCTCAAGCCACGAACAACACTTTTAAAGGTATCTTTTGGAGAGTCTATAAATGTGATATAATTAGGTGGGTCATCGCTTTTTGTCCCATCCGAAAGACTAAAGTTGTCCCCGACAACTGGGAACCGGGTTTGAATAATCCCGAGGCCCCTGACAGGCAATACTGTGATTCGAACATTCTATTCCTGACAAGTGTGAACATGGCTTAACAAATACCACAGGTTCTATTTTAAGGTTCGACTACCCTGGGGAGCCGGGGTTGCTCAGTGAATAAGACGTTGGCTCGCTAACCCGAAGGTGCCATCGAAATGAAATGAAATGAAATGGGGTTTTGCTCCGAACTGGGCTAATGAAGACGGGCATACGCCATACAGTGTGCTATGAGGGAAATTTTGCCCGGACAGCGGCACTACGGCCTACTCTTATATCGAATTCCAACTGTCAAGGGATCTTTTACGTGCACGCCAATGTGTACACGGGACCTCGGTTTTTCGTCTCATCCGAATGACAAGACAGCTGTCCTTGTCAGGCCCTCCGTCCTGCATCACTGACAAGGGGGAACCACGCCGGAAAATCTGGATCGAACAACCGACCTCCAGGCTAGCGAGCCAGCGTCTTATCCACTTAGCCGCGTGATCCCCCTGCCATAATCGAGCCGGGTGTTAGAAGAGAAAGTTCTTTGGCATTTTCCGACTTGGTTCCCATTTATCAGTGGTACAGGGTGAAAGGACTGTCAGTCGTTCGGATGGATAAAATACCGAGCTCCCGTGTACACATTGGTATGCACGTAAAAGAACCCCTGGCATTTGGAATTCAAAATAAGAGTAGGCCATAGTGCCGTTGTCCAGGTAAAATAGCGCTCTATATGGCATATGTCCGTCTTCATTATCCCTTTCGTAGCAGAACAGGATGTAAATCCCTATTTAAACTACCACAGTGCAGTACAGAATCTCCGGACTGCTCACCACCTCTACTCAAATAAACGTATCACATATAACCACACTGCCATTCTGTATTTCTCAGCAATCACAGAGATTCTGACCTTTTAGTTACCATACAGTTTGTCAATTAAAAAATTTTATATTGATGACATTAAACACATTAATATTTATCTTCGTGGTTACAACAATACATTTACTGTTTTAATAAAGTACAAATACCAATAATCAATATTATAAATATAAAATTTAAAATAGTTCAGTTAGGTTAGGGAAATGAGATTCAATTGATATTAAACGCTTCACTTCTCTGCACTCATCGGGACAATGAAGTCCAGCACAGATTGTAATCTAGGGAACCCCAGTAGCTCAGTAACGGTGTTGCGGGATGATGGGTCTGTCAAGAACAGTATCTAGCCATACGAATGGGACTAAAACCCGAGTTCCCGCGTAGACGTTGGCATGCACGTAAAAAAAAGCTTGACAGTTTGAAATCGATATCAGAGTAGCGCAAAATTGCCATCATAGCACATTGCATGGGTATGCCCTTCTTCATTAACACAGTCGAAGCAGTCAGATAGGATACTCAACCCCCTTTCATTTCATTAGGTATTCCAACGGGCTTATTCATTTAGAATCCATCATCCTAGTGTTGTATAACTATCTGAAACGCTGTGATATACAAACTTTCATTCAATATGTGGTTGCCGATGAGTTCGTAAATCTCACGACATTTTTTTTCAACAACTGCAGATAATACCTCTCGGGGTTACTTCCCCTTCTTTACGAACCCTTTTAAAACCCTTAGAGGACCTAGAGGTACTTGCTACTGGTAGTATTCTTGTTGATCTTCTACAGACCACAGCCTTAATGCTTGTGGACCTTCTACAGACCGCAATTTTGATGGGAACTTTTGAAATTTGAACAGATTGTGCAGCTTCTGAACAGAAATCAATCCATGATTTATTGATTTTGATTTGCCATACTAACCACAAGTTTTAAAGGGATCTTTTACAAAATACGAACTACACTTTTAAAGAGATCGAACTACGAACCACACTTTCAACGTGATCCATCTCAAGCTACGAACAACACTATTAAAGGGGTCTTTCACAAACTACGAACCACATGTTTAAACAGATCTAGCAGTCTTACACAAACTACGAACCACATTTTCAACGGGATCTGTCTCAAGCCACGAACAACACTATTAAAGATGTCTTTCACAAACTACGAACCACATGTTTAAACAGATCTAGCAGTCTTACACAAACTACGAACCACACTTTCAACGGGATCTGTCTCAAGCCACGAACAACACTTTTAAAGGTATCTTTTACAAACTACGAACCACACTTTCAACAGGATCTATCACAAGCTACGAACAACACTATTAAAGGGATCTTTCATAAACTACTAACCACACTTTTAAAAAGACCGTGCAGTTTCTCACAAACTACGAATCACATTTTTAAAAGGGATTAATCACAAAGTATAAAATAGTTAAAGGTATATTACCATGACAACTGTGTTTAATGATGCAATTAGCCATGTAAACAAAAACTAACTGTACGTCGAAAAATATTGGCACAATATAGTCCAGTTGGCAATGAGGTGCCATTGAAAACATGTCGGATCACGAAACATAACTGATCTCGAGGAGCGAAGGCTCAAATAAATACATTTGTCAAAATAAGCGCCTTGAGCGATAATCGTCATATGGCCTTTTTATCTCATGGCCTTGGTACAACTTTCTAGACTTTACTTTATTCGATCAGCTTCCTTGTTTTTTTTGGTGGGTTTTTTTTTTCTTCTTTTTTTTGTATTTACTAACAAAATGACATCAGAATAAATTAAAAATTAATATGTACGTGGCATGGCGCTTTGTGTGTGCCTGATGTCCTCTTACTCGCTTACGACCCGATAACTGTACACATATTGTCAAGAAAATCAATAAAATGTATATTTATAAAAGAACAATATCTATATATTCAGTCTACTGTTGTTTTTATGACAGAACAATATCTATATATATTCAACCCATTATTGTTTTTACTGCGGATGACAATCTATTGGTAGATCTAAACTGGAACGCAAAACAAACACTTCATATAAACGGTCAATATTAACAGAATTAACAAAGAACACAGAGTCATAAAACTTACCATAAATCTGACCATTTTTTGTTTTATCGCGAATAAAATTACTTGACGGAAATTCTGATATTTGAATCATTGTTGTCGCAGCTGAAAAGGTACATTATCTAATGGCGATACTTGTGGACTGGATATGAGAAATGGTCTCCGGGTGTATAGAATGAGTGAGTGAGAATACCTTTCCCAAATGTCAATATGCCGCAATATTCATGATCATTTCAGCAACAGTGGTCAAATAATTATCTCTTTATTTCCATTGCAGGTGCAGTACACTTGGCCGAACATACTCAGTTCTTTATACTACCAACTAAATACCAAAGACCATATAGATTGTCCGTCACTGATGTTTGTCGAATAGACTTAACAATAAATTGAAAAATGTGTATCTGTATATTTCTCGTGGGATATATAACCAGACTGTAGAAAGGTAAGAATATATACCAACTATTTCACGGATTACTGGATATGGTTTCACAGCCGAAAACCGCGGTGGCTCAGTGAGTTAGACGTTGGCTCGCTCACTAGAAGGTCTCGGGATCGATAAAGGTCCTCGGGAATTTCTGTCGCGGTTTGTCCTTGTCGTTTGTGCAGGACGAAAGGCTTGAGAAGGATGGTACGAAAACCCATGGCGTGTACGTAAAGGAACCCTTGACAGTTTGAATTCGAAATAAAAGCAGGCCGTATTGCTTGGGCAAAATTTCCCTTATAGTCGTCAGTCGTTGCAGGAAAACGGGACGTTAAACCCCGTTTCATTTCATTTCATTTAGTTTCCGGGTTAACACTTCCGCCGACATGACGTCCGAGTATAAAGTTGAAACATGTCGGAAATTACCAAAAAATGCCGCTATGACACTCTAACTATTTTATTTAAAATTATAATTAGTGAAACAAAGTGGACATGTAAGACAATAGGACTAGTCGCACTCTTAACCCAGATTTTAGTATTAATGTAAATTATATTTTCATTTATATACACGTGTCAAATTCACGTTTCCTTTTCTTGCGTTTATCGTTTCATATTTTTCGTTTGTTATTAAAACAGACCTTTTGATGTAACATATACATTTATAGTGAATATCTAAGTGATTTGAACTATCAATTATAAGGTCATATCATTACGTGACGAATTTATTTGATCAGTTTGGTTCTGGCGCTTGGGGATATTGTGAGGTTTGTTCCTGAACTTTTGAAATCAAAAGTTAAATCAAGAGGGCGTGCGAACCAGAGCAAACATCCTTATGATCTGCAAAATGAAATGAAATGTGGTTTAACGTCCTACTTTTCTGCACCAACTGGGATAATTAAGACGGGTTACACTGTAAAGTGTTCTATGAAGGAAATTTAAGTCGACTTTGCTGTATGAGTTTCCTCTGAAAACTCACCACGCTTGCCAAGTCACCCACCCCGTCTCTACATTCGAAATCCGGTCCTGCTGTCTGAATCAGTAAGTCCATTTGGAAGTTTACTTTATTGTGACCCAAATCCTATGAATGCCCGTCGCTATTTTTGTAGATCTTTCCATTATCACCGCTCGGGCTTAATATTTTATTTTAATTTTATTTTTCAGCAGGAAAAATGGAAAACAACACAACGGATATTAACTGCATTTTGGACTTGTCGGAGGCAGAACTCCCGATATTGCTAGTGCTGACGTTAATATTCAATTCAGTTTCATTGCTTATTTTAAATCGAATGAAAGTGCTGACAGAAACAATTGATCATTTATTGGTAACGACTTTGACCTATAATGATATGATATCGACCTTGTTGTACACCTTTATGTGGATAGGGTCATGGATATCATGTGGTCAGATGTTACAAAATATAACCTGTGATATATTCGGATGGTTAGGAACGATTACCGTAATTTGGTCTGCGGGCATTGTGGTCGTAATGTCTGGGTGTCGTTATTTAGCCTTGGTGCGACCACTTTATTACAGACTGCACGTGAATGCGAAATCAGTGAAAATTGGCCTTGTGGGATTTTTGGCTTTATTTCTGGTTATGGTGACGTTTCCGTTGGTGGGGTTAGCGTCACCGTATTATTACTATTCTTCAAACATGGTTTGTGCTTATAACTTTACTCCTGGTGATGGCGGCTTATTTCACAGGTGCATCCTGGGTATCATATCAGTGTTTGGATTATTGACAGTGATAGTCATTCTTTTCTTCAACATCTCAATTGTTGGGCAGGTAATATATTTTGTTTTAAAATATAAAGAAACAATCGCTCCTTATATCGGCTATAACTAGGTGTAGCGTGGTCCTCCTGCACTTACTATTTTGATATGGGTGATCTCCGGGAGAGGGGTTTATATAGGCTTTGCCTGTTCCCCAATCCCCTCAGTTTCTGAATAAATATTGTTTATAAAAAAAAAATATGGGTGAACTACATTGAGTCTGAACTGAAGAACTAAATTTAATTATCTGACGCTTATATTCTCAACCCGTTGCCGCGGCACACAACTGTTTCGCGAGATCTTCCTAAGTGTGCACAGACTAAGAAAATGCGAAAAACCACGTGATCCCAATTGAGTATTCCCTGGTGTCTACTGATAAGTTCATAGCTGTGTTTTTCTTTATTGGATTTGAGCCATCCTATGTGTGTATGACTAGTCTCTGTCTACGGTTGTATGCCGTCTGACGTATCATGTTTTTACTTTACTAAATTCAAATATTTATCATATATATTTAGCCAGGTGTCCCGCTACTTTTTTCACGTGTTCCAGGGTGTGCCGTTGAGAACCACTGCTCTAATATATTGTTATTTTTTTATGAAATCAGATAATGTATAGTTTATGATTATATATGAGCGTATATATACGAGATTTGCTTAGCAAATTATTATTATAATACGTGTATACGTGAAAGTGGGACAAAGATTAGTGTAAAAACGTCCAGTGGCGTGGCAAGGATTCTCAGCGACCAGGGACAAACACTCCTTTAGCACCCATACACGAGATGTCATAATATTGTGCTATTTTACTAAATTTGTTTAAATCTCCCGTCAAAAGGCAACACCTAGTAACTCATGTTTTTTCTTATTCTGAGAAAACAAAGGAAAACGAAATGAATGAATATTAAAGCCCAGGTTATCAATTGATTTGACTATTGAGTTATTGGGTTTTTCTGTGGCATATACTAGGCAAATGAAGGAAGTTGCTAGGTTGTGTCATGAGTGTAACTGCTTACAAAATCAATAGATCGGAATATCTAGTACAACAACAGGAAGTACCTACCCTAGTAACTACAAATTGGTCCTAACTCAAATTTAATAAAAAAAAAAATAGTGAGTTACTAGGTTTTGACTTTTGACGGGAGAAATTAAACAGTAAATGATGAGATATGCAACACACTAAACATATTTAATTATTATAACGAATCAACGTTATAACGTACTCATATTTAAGTAGAACTGTAAATCTGAACGTAAATGAAATGAAATGAAATGAAATGGGGTTTAACGTCCTACTGTTCTGCTCCTAACCTGGGCTAATGAAGACGGGCATACGCCATACAGTGTGCTATGAGGGAAATTTTGCCCGGACAGCGGCACTACGGCCTACTCTTATATCGAATTCCAACTGCCAAGGGATCTTTTACGTGCACGCCAATGTGTACACGGGACCTCGGTTTTTCGTCCCATCCGAACGACTAGACAGCTTTCCTTGTCAGCCCCTCCGTCCTGCATCACTGACAAGGGAGAACCACGCCGGAAAATCTGGATGAACTTTCTCGGCCAATGCAGGGATCGAACACCCGACCTCCAGGCTAGCGAGCTAGCGCCTTACCCACTTAGCCACGTGATCCCCAAATCTGAACGTAGGGGAAGGCATAATTAGTAATTAACTAGCAGGATACCCAGCTGCGCCGGGAGCCATATTCACACGGGGCCAAGTTCGCCAGGAGGCCAAGTTCGACCAGGGCCCAAATTCGCCCGGGGCCTAAATTCGTCCGAGGCCCAAATTCGATGGCCTAAAACATTCATGGTGTCATGCTGGTTAATTTGATACCATGTGGGAGCAGAGAGCGGCGACGATGCGTTATTCGCCAGTGGCCAATTCGCCCGGGGCCCAAATTCACCCAGGTTCCAAATTCGCCCGGGGCCCAAATTCAATAGCCTAAAACATTCATGGGGTCATCCTGGTTAATTTGATACCACGTGAGGGTGCAATGGAGAGCGACGACGAAGCGTTATTCGGCGGTGGTCCAGTCCCAGTTGGCCCGGTGCCCAAATTCGATGGCCCAAAAAATTCACAGTGTCATGCTGGTTAATTTGATACCACATATTTGATACCATTTATATAGAAGATAGTTAGATGGATATTATATCCCAGAGCAGCCCAGATGGTAATTTGCACCCCCTAACACCGGACGCGACTTGGTAATTTAAATTACATCAAAATAAAATCTTACGACCTCCCAGAATGTTGTGCTAGGATAAATAGAAGATAAACTATAACTATGCATTTATAAATATTTTTTAACGATTGATTTCAGATTCGCAAAACTGCTAGTGTTGGTCATTCCGATCCGACTAAGATGTCATCAGTATTAAATAATAAAAGAACGGCGATTACGTCCGTTACGTTAGTGGTATCACTGGTCTACGTTTTAACATACGGTCCATTTTTGGTAAGATCATATTTGTTTATTTAATGTGCTCCCAGTAAATTTAGCCGCACTCTCACTCATTACCTGATTGACAATATTTCAGCGTGATTTCCCCATATTAGTATGGTGCATGATGTAGGCCCTGGCAAGGAACAGTGTCTAGTCGTTCGGATGGGACGCATGTTCCTGAAGCAACGACTGTGAGTTATACTACATCTGGACGTTGTTAGATTACTTTATAATTCCCGAACTTATAGCTACGTTATCTGTAGAAACGTGAACAGTAGCGTCCAATCGAGGTTGTGACATATCGACCTCCACGCCGTTCACGGAAACCTTGACATTGAACGAACCTTGAACTTTGCAATTCGATTATCACAGGTAAAACATTTTAGCTGGAAAGCGCGAGACTTGGTATTCGCGATGATCGAGGTATCTGATAGGCTCACAAGCTGCGTGATTACCCAATCGAAATTATTTCCGAAATATGCACGGTATTACGTGAAGGCCTTGATAATATGTACGTAGTTAAAGCGAGATCAAACCTTCGATTGAAGATGGATGGAACGAAACACCGGAGCCCGGTGAACACCGAGGTTGACGTGAAAATAAAACAACCCCCGACAACTGGTATTCTACAAAAAGTAAACCGGTCGAACTATTCATCACAGAAATGAAATGGGGTTTAACGTCCTACTGTTCTACTCCAGCTGGGCTAATGAAGACGCAATACAGTGAACTATGAGGGACATTTTGCCCAGACAGCGGCGCTATGGCCTGCTCTTATATCGCATTTCAACTGCCAAGGGGTCTTTTACGTGCACGCTTACGTGTATACAGAACATGGGTTTTTTGTCCCACCGAACGATTGTCCCTTTTACCAGCCCCTATATCCTGCATCATTGATAAGGGGGACCAAGACTGAAAATCACGATGAACTCGGTGAAAAGAACTGGAATGGGGTTTAGGCATTAACAGAACACAGCTCTATGAATAAATGTTTCATAACTGTCATCTTTTTACATTCGTCTGGAGATCATTTCTTAGTAAAACACATACTCTTTCGTCGAAAACTCTGAAGAGGACGTATGTGTGTTACAAAGCAATGGGGAGTCACGGTGGCTAAGTTATTATTGTGCTGGCGAACTAACCAGAAGGCCCCGGTTCGATCCCGGCGTTCCTCGACATTTTCCAGCGAGCTTTAAGACAGATGGTCGGGTAAGAGTCTAGTCGATCGGACGGTCCAACAAACACGTTCCCGTGTACACGTTGGTGTGCATGTCAGTAGTGTAAGGGCGAATTTTTTAAGGGCCGAAAGCCTAGATTCCGTGAACGAAAAGACTGAATCAATTTCCCTCATAGCATACATGCCCGTCTCCATTATCCCAGTTTGTGCTTAACAGTAGGATGATGACCCATATTTCAGATGATTTATGTCTTTGTAACACACATACGTTCTTATCTCAAAAGTGAGTAAGACGCTGGCTCGCTGGCTTGGAGATCGCGGGTTCGTTCCCGGTGTTGGCCGAGAAAGTTCATCGGGATTTCCCTGCGTTGTTTCCCATTGTCATTGTTGAAAGACGGAGTGCCCGACAAGGACAGCTATCTAGTCGTTATGATGGAACGAAAAGGCGAGATCCCGTGTAACATTAGATAGCAAACCTTAATCTCTCAACCCTCCGTGTTTCGAGATAAGAGATGAGGCCATTGTCTTCAATGTAGCACATGCTGGAGCGATTCGCACCCGGCATTTGTTAACAAAATTGACAATATTTTTAATCAAAACAACGATTGGTTATTGTTATTTATAATATTTCTGCCACACCCATCTACAATTAAGCATATAATCCTACCTGAAACGGGTACAAATCCCCTCTTTTTAAATCAAAGCAACAGTAGATTGCTTTTTCCGACATTTTAAATTTACATCTGTACACACATAAAGGCGGGGCGTCGTGTGCAATAGCCAATCAAAGTACCCATCTGATCAGAGTTGCGCAGTAGGTATTATGGCGTAATTATGAACGTCCGAATCAATTTTGATAAAAACAACGCTTGATTTACTTTAATGTAAATATTTGCTGATAAATAAATGTTGTTTCGGTAGATTGGACTGCGTATGTGTAATAATTACTAATAGTATAAAATTAACTTATTTTTAAGATGGTACATACATTAATAAAGAAATTGGGTTTGCCACTTGGAACTAAAGGCATCCAATCGTAGCTAATAACTAGCACATCAGTATATCTCAGCGTTCTTATTTACGTGCTCGTAGCTAGTGTAACATTGGCGTGCACGTAAAAGATCCCTTGGCAGTTGGAATTGGATATAAGAGTAAGCCGTAGCGCTGCTATCCGGGCAAAATTTACTTCACAGCATACTGCATGGCGTGTGCCCATCTTCATTAGCTCAGTCCGGACAGAACAGTAGGACAGGACGGTTAAATCCCATTTCATTTTTCTCGTAAACATTGTAGCACAAGTATGCGTGCTACAAAATACATGGTCCCTGTCTGAAGGAAGGCACGGACGTCACACTAATAAAACAAAAATTACTGATCTACGTCCAGAACAGAGCGAGAGAAATAGAGAAGTTGGGTTTAACGTCCACTCGACATAAACCAGGTCATTTCGGGATTAACATATGGTTCAAATTTATTTCAATTATTCGCTTGTGTGTAGGGGTCTGCAGCTACGGGGAAACCAGAGAAAACCTACGAGGCTGGACGGCAATCCTAGCCCTTGTCGTGTGCAAGCGGGAAATCGAAACCACAAACCTAATAATCTAACGCGCACGCTGTAAACCATTAAGCCATCAGAACAAAACGAAAGTTTGATTAAATTTACTCCTTTTTAACGCATGAAATTTATTACACAATTATAATTTTTATTTCAGAGTCGAGTATTATATGACGTCATCTACAACATAAAAAGTCAAGATCGCTTGGATCATTCCATTACAATGGCACTGTTGTTTTTAAGTCCTTTGTTAAATCCTATCATGTATGTTTTATTCAACAAAAAACATAGAGCCTGCTTAATGGGTTTGATCAAATCTATGTGTGCGAAAATTACATGCCGGAAGTCGATACAAGAGAACAGTATAACAGAGAACGACGGGAAGGAGGAATCACGAGGCCAAGTTTGACCAATGTCGTGTCAGATAAGGAGATCGTGGGGTTTTTTGGGGGTTTTTTATAAGCAATATTTTTATTCAGGATGTCTGAATGGGATTGGGGAACAGGCTTAGCCTATGTAAAACCCCTCTCCCTGTGCACGTGGGGTTGATACAACCAGACAAAATTAAATGTAAACAGGGCGCTGACATCTTGAATAAATTATTAAAGGAACTACAGCAAGACATTAAACCTGTGATTACTCAAATGCGAAACTAAATATCCTTAAATGGTTTCCCCGCTCCGTTTCGCTGAATTTTGGCCTTATATCAAAGATACTGCTGTCCAGACAGAGTATGCATGAGTGTGTAAATCAAGAAAACAGTGTAAAACGTGTGCCTGTAATCTTGAGCATTGCTGACTATTATAATGAGGATATACTTGTGAGAAAATTCTACAAAAAAACAGACTTTTAATCTTAACAATTGCTAACTCTTATTTTTGGAATAGACAAAGTACGAAAGTTATTTTTAATATTGGCTAGGAAAGTCCTTTGTCTTAACAACAAATTCGCATTGGTTATTTGTTTTTTTTTTGTTTAAACCCATACTTGTTATGTTATTGTTTAAAGTCCTATTATTGGTACTATTGTTCCGCGTTTTTGTTAATTTTTTTAAAGAAAAGACAACAAACTATGGAAGCCGATACACATGGAGTCAACAAGGTGCGAAGGCGAATCTAGAACCAGCGACAAATTGGCGGCTATATTAAACCTATTTAATGTTTTATTGTTTACAATTACCACTATATTTTGTAAAATAATTATTGAACATAACTTATAACAGTCCACGGCGCATACAAAAAAAGACAAACCCGCGGACAAGACACACATCACATGAGTGACCAATAATCACAAGAGTATATTTTAAATGAAGTGAGTGGATGGTGGGGGGGGGGTACATATGAATAATTGACCTGTTGAAGAAGATGTAAGATTTCTGCCAGAGGATATCAAGTGAAAAACCTAAAGTTTTAAAACGAGTTTGTGATATCAGACTATTGTTTTTAGAAGAGTTGAATTATTACAACTCTGTAAATGTTATTAATCTACGCCATGTTATTTTATTATTCATAGCCCTTCTTTCGGTTAGATCTATTTCACATGCACACCTGCAGATGTATTCAGATGTAAACAGAGATAGCACTAACCCTTAACTTAACCCTAGACCTAGTCTTAAGCCTTACCCCAATCCACAATCCTTGGCAACAATCACGTGCCCAAGTCCTGTGTACATCTCGTGATCTATGACGAAATCTGCAGGTGTGCATGTGAAATAGATCTAGACCTTTCTTCCTTTCCCGGTGTGTATTGATAGAGCACCTACGGAGGTAAGAAATTCAAGAAATGTTTCGAGGATATTTGAAGAAATCGGGTGCTACTGTGCAATGTTTTTGTTAACTGCTGTTCCACGTAGTCATTACAAGAATGCCATTTAAACCAGGCCTTTGGTGATTTATTTCCCTCACTGGATAAAGATTGGGAACAGGAGTAAGCGGCACGATATCAGAATCCCAGATAGATCATTTTTCAATATAGCCTACAAAATAATAGTCTTCACAATTTGCCTTTATTAACCCTATTTCATATCATTTCGCTTACACATGGACTTTATCACGTAACGTCGGAAATCTCCCGAATCTATCAATGAATGCCGATTGAAGCAACTGCTGTACAATTATTAAAGGGACGTCACTCCGATAGTTAATTATCAAATAAGCCACATTGTCTCTCGTCGCCATGCAATAACCTTTCACTTTATCATTTGCTTTTTATTACAAATCAACATATCATTGGCAACTTTATTTTTGACCCCAAAGTTTGGAAACTTCGAAGTGCAAAAACAGTAACTATTAGCATAAGGGTCTTTATCGGTATCGACTCGAATGACCTAGTTCGAATCTCGGAGTGAGCTGGGAAGAATCATTGGGATTTTGTAGTGGCGGGGCTGAAAGTTAAATGTGCCTAGTTGTTTAAAAGGGACGAAAAACCGAAGTTTAACAATGGACATTGGCTTGGGCGTAAAAGAAGCTCTGGTAGTTGTAATTCGAAAAAGAGAACATGCCCTCTCCTCCCCCCCCACCCCGTCTCCCATCATCTATGTTAGTCTCAAGGTATTGTGTTGACCCTTTAAACCCTTTCCATATTACACATAATTACACATATGAATTTATCTGCAACAATAGATATTAAGTAATTACATGTAATCAATAAAGACACATTACGTTTAATAAGTAAATATCAATCAATCTACAATTAATTATTAAATCAATAATATGAGTGTCCTTTAAACGATTGCCTATGAGCATAACAATCCCTCTCCACTGTCTACAGATCTGTAGTTAAAGCCGCTGATCTTCATGTGAAAGTTGAATCTCTCTATGGATATCAGTCCAAAAAAGCTCAGATCCGTTCAGTATTTACAAAGATATATTTCGCAACATTCGGCTAGGTGGTTAAGACGCTGGCTCGCTTGCCTGGGGGTCGGGTGTTCGATCCCTGCTTTGGCCGAGAAAGTTCATCTGGATTTTCCGACGTGGTTTCCCCTTGTCAGTGGTGCAGAAAGAAGGGCCTGACAAGGACAGCTGTCTAGTCCTTCGGATGAGACGAAAAACCGAGGTCCCGTGTATATATTGGAATGCACGTAAAAGACCCCCTGGTAGATGGAATTCGATATAAGAGTAGGCGACAGTGCCGCTACCCGGGCAAAATTTTCCTCATAGCACACTGTAGCCCAGTATAGGAGCAGAACAGTAGGACGTTAAACCCCATTTCATTTCATTTTTGCAACATTCGGCATCTTCTGCCTACAATATCAATCCGATTAGAACACAGACCGTATCTTGTTTCGTTTTTATAGTTCAAAAATTTGTTTTACTTGTCATTACTAAACTATACTGGATGAGTTGTTATAAAACAAGCGTTCTGGTTGATGTGGGGGGGGGGATTAGCCAATGAAACGGTCAGTTATACGGTGAGATCTTGGCGTGAGGTGCACGGAATTGTGGGTATCACACTAGAAACATCAATTTGCCCCTTACGCGATCTTCCACTACACCCGGTCAGATCTTCATGTGTTGGAGGTCATCGAAAGTATAAAACAACGAAACGAAATATAAATCTGTATTTCAATAAGATTACATACTATATAAAAAAGCAAACGGCACAGGTAAGTTTTTGATAAAATCGATTTAATCCAATTGAATCGAAGTTGGGAGATCACCTACAGGTTTATAATTTGGCTTTGGTTTGCCCGGCCAATACCGCTACGACTACACACAACCCGACAGGACTCAGCGTCTTGGGTAGTTGTAAAAAAAATCGGGTCGCGTCTTTACTTCACTTGCCTACGACGGTACCAGTCCACACAGACCCGACTCTCACAGATTATGCGTCGTGAGTTACGCCACTTCCCTCTCTCTTCTGTACAAAAATCTGCCATCTTGAATTGTCCCGGGAAAACAAGGAGCACATGACCTGCACAGTCACATGACTAAATGCTACTCTCTGATTGGCTAAACAACAGTAAGACAATTGATCTTGTCGTGTGAGTGTCCACGCAAACACGATGGGTTACGACTGCATCCAACTGCATCCGACTACGACTGAACATGCTCAGTCGGGCCGACGGGCCACGACGCGACGGAAATCGATTGAATCGTGGTCGTGGGATTGTAAAACACTGCACTGATTATCTGAGACAAGACGTTGCGTTGGGTAGAGTCTGGGCAAGTCGTGGCGGTGTGGGCCGGACTTTAACGATTCAATATGCAAGATTTAGATAAAATAAAAGCTGACCGTTCTTGCTATAATAGATAACGAAAAATGAATATATTGAACAGTTCGTTCGAATTACTGTATTCTGATCGAATTATCAGTGTTTGAAGTTTTCATAAGATTGTTTATTAACGTAGCAAGTGTTTGCCAAACCATTTTAAAATTACATTATTAAATTGCATCTCGGCTATCCAATTGTCTAGAGAGTTGATTGTAAGTGTCTAAATAATAGTTTATAAAACATTTGATACAAAAAAGAAATACATGCACAGACAGATTAAGCTCTTAAGATAATGCATCTTTACTTCAATGTTAAATATTCAATCTGGGTTTAGCATGGATTAAATCGTGAAATATTTCATGGTACTGCCTAAAAATGAACGATCGGGATCAGCGACTTAAAGTACATTTTGTTTTTACTATTGCCAGCTAGAGGGGGGGGGGAACCATGATATATAAAATATAAACCACTCAATAATATGTGCATCTATAAATAGAATCTATTCAATAGATAGTCTATAATAAATAGGAGCCTTTCTTCCAAGTTAGAACCACCACCTCTCTCTCCGCTTTGTAGCCTATACCGGACGCAACGGCAGTGAAGATAGACGTTATACTGGCCAGTAACATCAGGGAGATGGGCAATAAGTTGTAGCTTAATGAGTCTTGAATCCTCATTAATTGATACGCCGCTGATATTTGACTGAATTTCGCGATAAAGACGAACGAAACAATAAAACTTAAGAAACCTGAAATAAATCAAAGAGCATAATCAATAAAAAATAATATGTACAATGATCGACTAATAATTCATAGGTTTAACGTTCACTTGACAAGGTCATTTCGGGACTAACATAATATGGTTCAAATTTATTTCAATAATTCGCTTGCGCAAAAGGGATCTCTAGCTATAGGGACGGGGGAGGAGGTGAAAATCCACGAGGTTGGACAGGTGACTCTACTTGCCTTGTCATGTACAAGCGGGGAATTGAAAGCACTCCACTTGACTCAATGACAGACCTTATGATCCAACGCGCCTGTGTCGAACCATTCGGCCACACACACACACACCCATGACACCTAGGGGATACTCGATTGAACGTTCTGGAATTACATTCTTTCAATTCCGAAAATAGTGTCAATCGAGTGAAAAGGAGAATTTCTGAGTACAGCGCATGTACCGACTGCCTAAAAAATATCTCAACCAATCATGGCAGCTGAAACATATTTGTTACTTAAAATACGTTACGATTCTAATTGCGATCATCGCGAATACCAAATCTCGCGCTTTTCAGCTAAAATGTCTACCTGTCATAATCGGGTTGCAAAGTTCAAGGTTCGTTAAATGTCAAGGTTTCCATGGAGTTCGCCATGTTTGATTTCAGTCTGATTGAACGCTACTGTTCACGTGTTTGCTGTAAAGGAAGATGACGTAGCTATAAGTTCGGGAATTGAAATGGTGCCCAGGCAAATGTATGGCGTATGTCCGTCTTCATTAGCTCGGATGGTGCAGAAAAGTAAGATGTTAAACCCCATTTTATTTGAGCGGTGTCCACTTTAATTTTCTATAAGGTATACTTACCCCCAGTTGCAAACATAACTAAGGCCATAATATGAAATAGTTCCGTTTGCCATCTCATATTAAGTAATTGGGATATTATTCCTCCTATTACGGAAAACAAACCAAAACAACTTAGTATACGTCCAGCCATTAGCCACCCTGGAATATGAATACCATATAACGATCAAAACTTAAAGATGGGTTCCCATAAAAGTATTTATCGGATGGTTATTTCCAATAAAAGTATGGCAATTTTGGTATATATGGAAAGTAGAGATATCCAATCTTACTAGAAAAATACTGGATTCCACGAAAAACACTCACGGAGCGTATACAGGACAAAATTGTAAGGGTTCCCCTAATCGACAGCCCGACGATTAGGAATTTCTGCACTCGTGATGTCAAAGGTCACACACGAACATTGAGCGCTTGATTTACAAGTTGATAAACTTTATGAAGAGTTAGACGTACAACACTTTCTGAGATAAAAATGACGGAAAAGACGCGGGTAGTGGATAATCCGAGAATTTAATTAGGATTCGATATTTGTAATAAATAGTAAGCGATTAAAGACAACATCGTCTTATGTATGCAATGAATTCTCCTCTGACTTCCAAGAGAGGTAAGTCACGTGACGTAAACATGACCGGGTTTGATCAGATTTTTATAGCAGGGCATTCCTTCGCAATTACAATGTTTGAGAAGGATTTGAAGCAAAATTATGACAAATTAATTAGTTTGAATATGTTTTTAGTCCATATATACCATTAAATCACCCAGTTTTTACGCGGGAATGTATCTTTAAAGTTAAAAATATTAGACTCTACATGCTTTAAGTTAATATCTATTTTTGTCAGAACGAGAAGAGCTTTCATGCGGGTTATTTGCCCTTGAATTATATGGATATAACATAAAAGAAATGAGGCACTTAAGGAGCTCCGTAGGGTATGAAGGTCGTGGAACGCTGAAAATAGATAGGCTTTAACATGTTGTGACCCCAATGCTTGACACCAAATTTGGAAATAAAAAACACTAAAAAAAACTGTATTGCGGTCACAAATTGTTGACTGGCGAAATTTGCAGACAGGGGCGACAACATTATACGCCTTCACTAAAACAAGGTCGAATTTGACAAAAATATTTCATCGAAATAATTATATCAGAGAGGAGTCGTGCACCTAAAGGGCTCCATAGTATAACGTTAAACCAACAAGGGTTTTGTCTTGAGTTGTATTAAATTGATTCTGATTAATGGTGTATTAAAGGGTGGACGGCTCTATTTTTGGAACCTTGAAATAGACAAAAAAAAAGGTTTTAAAAACACATATTATAGTAATATGAATGTACGTAACGTGATTAATATTCAGTTTTTGAAAAAAAAAAATATTATAATTTCTAATCAATTATTCAATTAAATACGTGAACAGTTCAAATTGAACGGCAGTCGTTTACGTCTCCTTAGTCTATTCTACACGTTTTTATTATTATTATTATTATATTGTCGTTAGTGAATCAGCCTTTACTAATTACTTCCTCATTGTGTTGTAGGGTGTTTATATTTGTTTATTACAAAATGACACCCGAATCCATATAATACACGACTCGTGTACTGCGAATGTTAATTGTGTCTTAAGTATTGGATATTAGGATCCTATATTTTCATGACAAGATAATATCGTCACTATTGATTGGAATTGACCATGATTGAATTCTATTTTGTGTTTTTAATTTCGAATATTATGGTAGGGTGACCCACCATAAATAAATATCTCCAAATATCTCGACAATTACGCCACAATATTTATATATATGCCAAGCCTCAAATCAGTTTCACACAATTATAGTCACGAAATAAACGATCATGTTGTACTTAATAAGCTATGACCATTAATCATCTATAAATAATAGACTGAAAACTGGTTCCAAGTTGCGTCCATAACATCCAGACACTTTTGAGTAAAAGATAGGTTACGTGCCCTTGTTTTGAAATTAGTCTCGCTTAACCAGTCTATCGACCATTCTACGTCTGATTGACAGGTCGGGATAATCAAGACTACTTTTTTACGAAACATAACAGAAAGCTAGAACAAGAAATTGAATTTAGAAATAAGCACTTTAGACAACTCAACAATTGTTTTAAGAAACTTGTAAAAGTAAAATGAAACTACTGCTAGTATCATGTTCCTGCTAAAGAAAGTGATTCAGAGATAGTATTTGTACTAAACCAAAAGATGCCGCTCTTAACGGTACAGTTAATGATAAAGCAATTTAAAAAATAAAACAAACATAATTACTAAAGCTGCTGTAATAACCAAGACGCTAAATTTTACTGCTATTCAAAAGCGTCAACAATAGATTTTTTACGGCTGTAATAGTTGATATATTTGTAGAGAATTGCACGTGCCATGGCTATTTATCGACTCAAAGCGAGTGCGGGGTAGTCAGAAATCACTTCGAGACACGCAACTGAAGCGTGCACATTTAGCCGTGTCGAGACCAACTTTCTGTAAAGTGCGCGGGTCACCCTAATTATGGAAAATATTGAGTTAGAGATTTAGCTCCTTTAATATTTTGGGAGCCACGGTGGCTAAGTGGGTAAGACGCTGGCTCGCTAGCCCGGAGGTCGGGTGTTCGATCCCTGCATTGGCCGAGAAAGTTCATCCCGATTTTCCGACGTGGTTTCCCCTTGTCAATGGTGCAGAACAGAGGGCCTGACAAGGACAGCTGTCTAGTCCTTCGGATGATACGAAAAACCGAGGTCCCGTGTATACACTGGAATGCACGTAAAAGATCCCTTGGCAGTTGGAATTCGATATAAGAGTAGGCGATAGTGCAGCTGCCCGGGCAAAATTTCCCTCATAGCACGCTGTATGGCGTATGTCCGTCTTCGTTAGCCCAGTATATGAGCAGAACAGTAGGACGTTAAACCCCATTTCATTTCATTTCCTTTAATATTTATTTGTTCTTACCTGGTTCGGAGTAATAGTCTACAGGAACAACTACAGCAGAATAACATACATCGTCGATACAATAAACTGCACCGAATAATGGGACGGTGTAATCTGATTTGTCAACCGATTTCCACCAATGGGGGTAGAAGATTCCAACTGTTAAAAGAAGAAATGCGACGCTTCCAGCAACCAGAACGACAATCTGAGAAACACTGAGTGCCATAATTATACAAAACAAAACTGAAAATTGGAAAATAGTAGAATATCATTCGGAATTATTTTGTAGTAGTATAAAGATCTTTATACGTTTGGGGGGTTGTTAGATGGCCAAATGGTTCTCGGAATTATTTTGTAGTAGTATATAAAGGTTTTTACGTTTAGGGGTTGGATGGCCAAATGGTACGCGTGAGCGTTGTATCATAAGGTCTGTCATTGAGTCAACTGGCGTGTTTCCGATTCCCCGGTGGTATGTGACAAGGAGTAGGGTGCCTATCCAACCTCGTTGATTTTCTCACGTCCTCCCACTGCTAAAGACCCATACACGAAAAGCGAATTATTGAAATAAAATTGAACCATATGTTTGTGGACGTGTCGAGTGGACGTTAAATCATATCTCTCCCCCCCCCCTCTCTCTCTCGTGTTAGTAGTACATTATGAATGTACATTTATGTACGGTTTAGAAGGACATGCGTATATACTGTACACCTTTATATACGTTTTTAGAAGTACATGTGCTTGTATACATTTAATACGTTTTTACTAGTACTTGCATAGACAATTTATATATGTTACGCAGTACATGTATATACAGATGGTTTAGTACTGCATGTATATACCGTTATATTCAGATATCAGATATATTTACGTACTTAGTGGTATATATGAATTAGTCCATAGTGGCCCACGGGGGAGTATCGCAACCCGAGAGGAGAATTTATTTTGCGTAGCTTTCGAATATGGGTAGTGATCAGTCCTTTAAGTGATCTTTTCCGATTCAAAACATTAATATTATATAATTAAGAGTTTGTAGAAACGCCCGACCAACAGTACGCAAAATAATAAGTAATATAATATAAGAAATGCTTAAAATTGAACAAGAAATTCATAATATACTTACATGTACAGTTACCAGTATTAATTCGACAATAGTAATGATATTAATTTATTTCATAGACTCATAATTAACTATATCATGTTCAGTCAGGACTTCCTCTCTTTATCGTAAGTTAAGACCCGCCTTATGACATCACCGGAAGTAAACTATGTGGCACACTATCAGCAACATTGCTGTGTGGCGGAAACAGATCAAGTAGTAAACCTGTACACGTTGAAATATTACAGCTATCAATATACATATTATGGTAACACTACCAGAGAGAGGGAGAGAGAGCATTTTGTTACTTACATATCTTTATTTCAATAAACCGGAGATAACACGCGTTGTTAATCAGGCATTCTATTTGTTTGTAAGAGCATGGAATATGGACCATGATACACAGGGATCATGAAAACTGGGTCTGCCGACTCTCCTATTGAGGAATTGCGAACATGTCTTGGTTCTCTTAATATGCTCGCTCTTAACAACTGTCTCCGACGCATTCGATGTAATGTGACCACCTCAAATATTGTAGTCCAAGTAACTTCTATGGGTTTATTAAACACAGATAATACAACTATATATTTACAAGTAAAGAAAAAGATGCGATCTGTTCTAAATCATAACTCTAATTGAATTCAATGCGTACGAATCCAATTTACAATTAAACAAAAATATACCGTCTTCATTACCCCAGTTCGGGGCAGAACATTAGGACGTTAAACCCCATTTCATTTCATTTCTACAAAAATATATAAATTTAAACAATTATGACACATTGACAATTTTAGAATATAAATAGCCATGCAAAGTGTGGACCTACACGGGTAAATCTATTTGTTAAGGCCAGCTCAATTTTTGTCAAGGTCGCTGAAATTTAAATAAGGTTAGGGCACGAGATTGTAGGTTAAGGTTAGGGCACGAGATTGTAGGTTAAAGTTAGGGAAAGCATTCGGGGGTATGTCCAGGGTGAGGGTTGGAATTACCGCTAGCCCTGTTTACATCTCGTGACCTATGACGAAAAACTGAGCTGGCCTTATCATTTAGCATAAACCAGACATACACCCACATAACATCAATGTCTCAACAACAGCTTATCCAAAAGGAAAATTTGATATTTGATATAGTGTGTGTGTGGAGGGTAGGGAGGGGGTGTAACCCTATCACTGACAGTCGCAGAATACTGAATATTAACAGGGTTCGTACGCTAAAGGTCTCACTGCTTCACACCAAATTTCAAAAGAATCTGTTCAAAACTAATCTTCTAGTGTGCTCACAAGGATTTCGATAAAGGGTGGGGTGCCTGTAAAAATGACCATTGGAGAACACTGAATATCAATACGGTTCGTCCTCTCGCAATGCTTTTCACAAAATTTGAAATGAATCGATTAAAAACTTCGGCATCAAGCGTGTTCCAAAGGGTTTTGGCAAAGGGGAGGGGGGTAACTCTTGACTCTTGATATTTGATTTCGGTATAAGAGTATAGGTGTCCGGACACAATTTCCCCTCATAGCACAGCTTGGCTTATATCCGAGATCATTATCCCAGTCGGTGCAGAACGATAGAACATTAAAACCCATTTCATTTGATGAAATTAATTTTTAGGTTTTCTTTTTGTTTTCTTGGCATTTGATCTACACTATGTATAGCAACATCAATCGCACTGTTATCTGTTGATCTTAACTGCCTAGTAAAATGAAAATGAGGTTTATTGTAAGCTAGACACACTCCCACTAAGTAATTTCGGGGCAATGTTGGTACATTATACGTTGATCAACGTCTGGATCTCTGAGTCTACTGGCATTGAAGTCGAGAGAGTCAGGTCTTATTAAAACAACAAATTTCACACACAGCATCAATCATTATAAGGTCACGACCCAGCATCAGTCGAATAAATAATAAGTATTAAATGGCCCAGGTTTGCCGTGAAGGGTTGATTAAACTTGTAATTAAAACAGTGTGACAGATTTTGAAAATGAAACGAAATGAATGGGATTTAAAGTCTTACTCTTCTGCACCGACTGGACTGGGAAATTTTGCCTGGACAGCGGCACTACAGTCTACTCTTATTTTGTCAAGGGTTCTTTTACGTACGCGCCAATGTTTTGTACTATTCGAATGATTAGAAACTCTTCTCTGCCAGGCACTCCGCCCTGTGCCATAGTCGAGGCGAAACAACGCCGAAAAATCCGAGGAATCTTTTCGACCGTCACCGGGAGCGAACCCGAGCCTCCTCGGCGAAAATGTTTTACTTACTGAACCACCGCGCTGCCAAGAGAATCTGGTACATTCTAGATCCGAAAAGAATATTTTAATGTTGATTTGGAACTCGATGACGGGAAATTCTTCTTTATTGGGGTTAACATCATGCAGCACCTGACGTGATAAGACAGGCTAGCCACCAATGATAAAAGAGAGAATAATCTATGACGATAGTTCCAGATATAGATAATTAACCAAAATCCCCTTGTTTTACCTTTTACATGCCAATTTTTTACTTTGGCCGTGGAAAAATGTGTAAAATTATATTATTTGACGATCTTTATTAATAAATTTGACTGATTTTGGGACGGGCCGAAAATGAACATATCGGGCATAACCACCACTCACAGTGGCAGCTGCGCGTGTGCATATCGACGAATATTACCGAATGAGGGAAATCCCCTTGCTGAAATAAGCAGTGTACTGTAAAGATATTGGCGGCTAAAAGCTTCGGAGAATTTTTGGTAATGCCAATAGGAGACTGTTATCATAGTACATGCCAACCGGAGGTGACAGTTGGATTTTATAAATGTGTTACATACATTTGATCGAATTTCTAGGATTTAATGCCAGCGTCAATGGAGAAAATAAGTGTGATTGAATCCCCTAGCGAGCTCCGAAAAAATATCAATAGGGCTATACTAAGGTTATTATGTGAGCGTAAGCTAATACTACATGTATATATATATGTATAAAAGCCACGTGAAAAAGTTTGCAGATATTATATTTATTGTGTGTATCTATTGAAGAAATAGTCATGCGATTTAATACAACTATAGTATAAGCCTATCTAGGTCTTCCGTATACATGCTATTTATAGACTAGCGAATAAATCCGTGTACCCTGAACACCACACGACAGTTTTATATTATATTGCGCTGTTTGATCTCTACAGCTATTGTCCAGGTAGGCTAACATGTTTAACATTTGTTAATAGCTAACCTTATTTAACCATTTGGGGTGTAAAGGATTCGATATCATTAAATACTAGCCGGTGTAAAATCGAATCTCAATTTAGGTTAAATTTTAATCATGGATCGTATATAATATGACGTAACAGTCTAAAGCTACCGGTATGTTGACGATGGCGACACGGTTTAATAACAAGCTCAATCAGATAAATGTGTGTTGGATGCGCTTAACTTTGATCTCTATTTATTCTTACATCGTTTGGCATGCCTGCTTCGTGTATATCTATGTGATCGATGGACGTTCACTCGGTTTTGTTAAGGGAAATTGGTCCACGAATGGCTAAGAAGGGAGATAACTCTATTAATAACTTTGGGCTAGACCTCTGGTAAGAAAACAATTGATAGGCCCTATGCCTATGTTGATTCTTAAGTGCTAAAGAAATAATTTGGCAAAATCCACGCTAGACAACCCTCTAACATATACGAATAATGTATCCATCGATAAATCTTTCCAAACCGACGAAATGATCCAATAATAAATTATAAAAAATATTTCCGTATCGAAACTAAAACTAAACCTCGTAATAATAATAATAATCACTTTATTTCGAGAGGGTAGAAAATTAACCCTCCTATATTAACAGCATCAATCATAGAAACATGGAAGGTAATAGCCTTGGACATAATGTAACGAAGGTGGACGTACTACCATAATGCAGATATTTTACAAACTAACACTGAAAGGTCATTATTAATCGGCCATTATTATCGAACATTTAAAATAACTATTTCCTCATTCAAACAACTTCGTGACTGGGTTCAGGGGTTATTCTCAAGACCCGTACGCATGGTCAGGTCTAAATATTAAGGCCACATTGAGAAATGTAAATAGCGTTAGGGCACGTGATTGTTGACGAGATTGTGGGTTAGGGCTAGGACTGTTTACATCTCGTGACCAGGCAGGTGGCCTTAATATTTAGACCTAACCCCAATATATATGCTACAGGGTATCTGAGAGGTGGGATGGGGATTAACGCATGGGCGTTGGCTTACAAGGGACAGCATATAGTAGTTCCCATGGCTCGTTATCCTGGAGGTTGCGGCTTCGATCCAGGTTTTGGCCGAGAAAGTTCATCCAGATTTTCCGGCGTGGTTCCCCCTTGTCAGTGATGTAGGACGGAGAGCCTGACAAGGACAGCTGTCTAGTCGTTCGGATGCGACGAAAAACCGAGGTCCCGTGTACACATTGGCGTGCACGTAAAAGATCCCTTGACAGTTGAAATTCAAAATAAGAGTAGGCCGTAGTGCCGCTGTCGGGGCAAAATGCCCCCATTGTACACTATATGGCGTATGCCCGTCTTCATTAGCCCAGTTCGTAACAGAACAGTAGGACGTTAAACACCATTTCATTTCATTTATTAGGGTGTATACAATATTAGGTTCTGGATACCCAAGAACATTAGTTTATTAGTAGTATGAATATTTCATATTTAATCCCTTCTTATTTTCAGAATGTCAAAGATCTCTCGAGGATTGATGGACGAAGAGGGGCGGAAGAAACTACAGTGTAACCGAGTGTTTTTAGTGGATGAGATTTCCCCTGATCATGGTATGGCGGATGCAATGTTCTCTGCACAGATTTTCGACCAGCATGACCTAGACGTAATAAGCAGCAAGCCGACTCGCAGAGAGAAAATGGAAGCCTTTCTAGATATTTTAGTCCGTTCGGGTGTGGGGGCCTATGAGGAATTTTTAAAAGGACTAGAAAAAAGTTACCCACATGTAATTAAACGTCTAGAGGAAACAGATTTAAGTACTGTGGGAATAAAAGAGAGGGGTTCTCTAATGGAACCAGATAAAACCATATTACAAAGAGAATTCTGTTTTTTAACAGAGGAGGTGCGTGCTAAGGACTTGGTGCAGGATATGTTTCAAGAAGGGATTTTAACGGACGACGAGGTAATAGTCATTTGCAATGCA